GGGATGGACCAGGGAGGAAGTTATATGTAAAATATAAATATATGAAAAGTGGGTGAAGGGAGACATCAGATAGTGTAAGACATGACAAAATAATAATAATTTATAAATTCTCAAGGGTTCATGAGGAAGGAGGGAGCAGGGAGGGAGGGGAAAAATGAGGAGCTGATACCAGGGGCTGAAGTAGAAAGTGAATGTTTTCAGAATGATGATGGCAACAAATGTACAAGTGTGCTTGACACAATGGATGTATGTATGGATTGTGGTAAGAGTTGTATGAGCCCCCCCCCAAAATGATTTTTTTTAAAAAGATACTGTACAATGGTTTTGCCCAATGCAGTACATCATTTGATTTCTTGACTGTCACTGCCATGGATGTTGATTGTGGGTCCAAACAAAATTAAATCTTTGAGAATTTAAAAAAAGAAAAGAAACCCGAGTTCACTTATTTTTTTAAGCTGGCATTCTTGTTGCCAAGAAGTGCAAACTATCCCTCCCAGTGGAACCTTGCTGGTGTTTCTAATTTAATCTTCTTACAACGGCTTGACTGTTCAAAGTAAATCCAATTATGGAGCTGATTATATTTTGTTAGGTCATATCATGGGGGATTATTAGGCTTCAATTGCCAAACCACTGAGAATACTGACCCAGACAAGTTGACACAAAACCTAACTACCAAAATTAGTAATGGATGTTTCCAACGGTTTCTTCTCATTTTGAGTCGTGTGCATCAGGAAACATCGGGCCTCAATGCTGCACTCCATCCACATCATTAAGGTCAACTCCGTTTCGAGGAGCCACTACTTCCTCATTATAGTTCCAGTGCCTTCCAATCGAGGGACTGATCTTTTGGCACTGTGCCAGATAATATTCCCTGCCATTCTTTGGGTCTTTAGTGGCTGAGCCCTCAGATACGGACCACCCATCTCCTTTTCCTAGTGTGTTTTTAGCCTAGAAATTCACCCATAAATCTGCTCACCCTGGGTAACCGTGCTGGTATTTGAAATACCAATGGCATAGCTTCCATCAGCACAGAAACACATGAGCCACCAGAGTACAGTAATTTCACGACAACCAGGACAAAATGCTTAGTGGACATTTCATTATCTAGAGAAATTACTCGGTGGTGCAAACAGTTAAAATCTAAACTACCAGCCACGAGATTTGCTGTGGGAACTTATCCACAGGTTCCATGTTAGGCAAGCCTGGTTACAGACTTTAAATCCACAATCTTGGAAAACCTACAGAACAATTGTGCTGTACACACAAGGGGTTACGATGAATTAGAATGGATTAGAAGACAATAACAATAACAATAGAGCTAAGGATTTATACCAAACTAGACGAATAGAATTTAAGTCTTAGAAATAAACCAGGCAAAAAAAAAACAAAAAAAGAAACCAGGAAAGGAATCATTGAGTGCGAGCACTCTATGATATGGGCGCTGCTCTGTCACACACAAGGAGATAATCCTGCTGCCCTGGATTGTTGAGCAGGGGATCATTCATGTGAGTTTTGGAGATCACAGACCCTGTCATTCTGGCCGCACAATGTCTGGTTTGTAACTGCGTTTCTGCCCTCAGCTGGAATTTCTATTTTTTAAAATGTTTATCTCTATTTTGATCTGCTTCCTAGTCCTGAGGTGTGTATATACACAGAGTGATAATTAGAACAAGATTGTAAATGAGGGTGCTTGGTAGACCACCCAGCTTCACCCTTGAGGAACTTATAGATTTTGTTAAAGCTTCTATACTTGTGATGGGTGGGTACTAGTTGTGCTTGTCATATTACTCTAGTAAGTCTGTCATATTAACCTAAAAAGCCATGCCCTCCCCATATTGCTTCGTTTCTCTGGCTTCCAGGGAAAGTCACATTGACATAAGAATGTCAGGCCCAACTGTCACATTTGGGTACAGAATGTATGGTGACCTGCAAGAAAGTGGCTAGGAATGCTGACGACATTGGTTTGTGATGCCACACAAGATTGGGACGTTAGCTCATGGGCTGTGTGGATGCCTGTGTGCATATTTGTGTATGTGTATTGATGGATAGCAGGGCAAGGAGAGAAAGGTGAATTGCATGGCTGATACAGATTTTATAAATATATTACTGTACTTAGAAGAAAATGATTCACTAAAATTATTGGTACATCATTTTTTCCTAAATTTACTAAGGAATAACTTTAGGAATTAGGGAGTAGCCAATCTTAGTAACAAATCTGTTCTGAATTGTGTGTTTATTTGATTTGTGTGGATCTGGAAAATCATTGTTCAAAACTAAGAAGAGTGTGAAATATCATCCTACTTTTAAACTCTCAATTTAACCTGCCACTGTCTTTTCCATGTTTGCAAAAACACAAGACCACCAAGTCATAGATAAAAGATCGTTTATTATCCACTGCAATAACAGAAGCCAGAGTATCATTATACTTGGTGCTCGTCTCCTGAACCGAGTTCCCATAAGGCAGCAGTTCAACTTGTGTGTCGTGACCCCTTTGAGGGTCAAATGACTCTTTCACAGGGGTCACCCGATTCATAACAGTAGCAAAATGACAGTTATGAAGTAGCAACAAAAATAATTTTATGGTTGGTGGGTCACCACAACATGAGGAACTGTCTGAAAGGGTCACAGCATGAGGAAAGTTGAGAACCACTGCCATAAGGTGATATGAATAGGGATCAATGACACCTGCACCCCGAACAGGTTGTTTTATAGAAGAGGAACCCATGTTAAGAAAACCAGTACCTTTATAATGGACAGGAAGCATACATTCCGTTTACTGTCCTGGGGATCTTGAACTTGATCTTCCGGGTTTTTCTCTATGCAAATGTCTCTGAAGGAGAGTGTCCAGGAAAAGGCAGCCAGGGCTCACATTACCAAAAACACTAGCTGTTATTCACTTCAGAGGTTACCCACAGAGGTCAGCGTTGTAGCCTCATTCCAGAATACATATGCTAATGGTAATTTAGGCACTATAGTACTAGCTTCTAAGTATTTGATACACAAAATGTAGTCCATGATTGAATAGCATCTAGTAGCTTGTTGGAAACGCTACTAGATCCCACCTTAGACCTACTGAGTCAAACTGCATTGTTATAGATGATATGTATATGTATACATTTTGATAGGCACTGGTTTAACTAATTTTAGGTCCAGATAGTTCTAGGAACTTAAGAAAATACCAAGTTACCTACAGCATTTTATTAGGTACCATAGTCAATTTTGACTCACAGCAATCCAATGTGGCAGAGTAGAGATGCCCTATATGGCTTCCTAGGCTGTGATTTGGGGGACCAGATCTCCAGGTCTTTCTCCTGTAAAGCCACTGGGTGAGTTTTAACTGTCAACCTTTCAGTCTGTAGTTATCTGCTTAACCATTGTACCAGCAGGGCTCCTACGCATACACAGTATGAAAAATCACCGTGACTGGAGTAACCAGATAGCCATACTTAGGCCTATTGTAACAGTAAAAGTACTATTGTACTTGTACACATATTTCCAAAAGTATCCTGGTTTGGAAGATTAAAAAATATATACTATTTATATGTAATAATTATTTCATATAATAGATATACATATTTTGTTGTTAGATGCCATTGTGCTAATTCCAATATAATAGGAGTGATCCTATGACAACAAAACAAAACACTACTACAGCCATTCTCACAACTGTTCTTGTGCGTCCGTCCATCTTGTCAAGGGTCTTCCTCTATTTCCTCTTCCCCTCTGCTTCACCATGCATGATGTCCTTGTACAGGGATAACATCTCCAAAATACTCGAGATGAAGTCTTATCATCCTAGCTTCTAAGGAGCATTCGGGCTGTCCTTCCCAGATAGATTTGCTTCATCGTTTGTCAGTTCACAGTACTGTCAATAGTCTTTGTCAGCACCACAATTCAAATGCACCAATTCTTTTGTTCCCATCTACCTTATTCAATGTCCAACTTTCACATGCATATGAGGTGATTGAAAATACCATGGCTTGGGTCAGGTGCACCTAGTTTTCAAAGTAGTATCTTCACTTTTCAACAGTTTAAAGAGGTCTTGTGCAATTGATTGACCTAATGCAGTGCACCATTTGATCTCTTGATTGCTGCTTCCATGAGCATGGATTGTGGATCCAAACAAGAAGCAAACCTTGGTCACTTCCATCTTTTCTCTTTTTATCATACCACACAACATTTCCGTGTTCTGTTTGCACAACTGTCCCTTGATCCATGTCCATGCTCTGAAATTCCCATTTTTCTCAAGACTGTCGATAGTTTTTTATAGTCCACACAGGTAAATACCTTTGCAAAGTCAACAAAACACAAGTAAACATCTTTCTAGTAGTATCTGCTTTCAGCCAGGATCCACCTGATACCAGCAAAGATATCCCTTGTCCCACAGCATCTTCTGAGTCCAGCATGCATGTCTGGCTGTCAATATATGGCTGCAACTATTGTTGAGTAATCTTCAGCAAAATTTTATTTGCATATGATATTAATGATACTGTTCTATACTTTGTGTGTTCTGTTGGTTTACCTTTCTTTGGAATGGATACAATTATGGATCTTTTCTTGTCAGTGGATCTTTGAAATCTGCTTAGTCTGGAAGCTTTGCTGAAACCTGTTCATTTTGGGTGAAAACATTGAGATAGCTTCTAGCATCATAGCAACACACAAGCCACAACAGTATGACTAACAGACAAGTGTGCATATAAATATATATGCATATACATAAAAATGATTAGAAATAATATATCTATCTGGATACTGGATAAACTGTCTGAGATATAAGAATGCCCTTTTAATGATATGGGACACCAAGAGGGACACACATCTTTTGGGGAGAATAGTATTTGGGGCATACATGGGCTGAAGTGGGGTTAGAACCCACAGAGACCTCAATGTAGGGATCAAATCTTCTGATCAAGTGGTCACTCTTGCACTAACTTACAGAGCAACTCTGAAATTCTTAAGGTCACTGATTTGCCTTCCCTTTTTGCCTCTTTGCCTTGTAGGAAATCCTTCCAACATTCACCTTATTGAACAGCTTGGTGGAATACAAGGAAGCCTTCGAGGAACGAACCTGCATCTGAGCACCTCCTTTTCCACAGGTGCTGTCTTTTCAGGGAGCTTTTTGGATTCCCTTCTGGCCACAGTAAGTAGAGCTGAGCTGAGGATACCCAATGGCCAATGGTCCTCCAAGAGGAGAGAGCGGCTTGATTGGAAAGGTGGAAAACATCTCCCAATATTGTTGTCTCCTGTATTGCTGCTTAAAAGAAAATTCATTCAAATAGTTTATCTTATTTCATCTTTTCTCATAACAACTTGGTGAGGAAAGCCAAATTGTCACCATTTTCAGATTCAAATATTGATGCCCTAGGAGCTATAACACCTCATCCCAGAAGAAATGTGTGAGTAACAGAGTTCCTGGCTTTTGCTCAAGACCATGTTGGTACACCCAACCAACTTAGTGCCAGAATTAGGAAGATATTGCTTTATCTTTTTAAATGAAATTTCTCTAGTCAGTCAGAAACCAGTCAGTCACAAAGGGACACAGGAGTTCAAGGGAAAAGCTTTGAGGCTTCCGATGGCTTGGGTTTTGTTTAGTTCTTAGTCAATGCTCCCTATAATGCTCCTCTCTTTTTGACGACATGGTTGATTTTTAGTTTTCACCACCTCTTGAGCTACTAAGTAGATATTTTATAGTGATGACACCAAAACAAGCAAACAAAAGCAAAGCAGTATTTCTAGAAAGTACATTCTAACTCATAATTACCTTATATAAGGTTCTTGAGACACTATAAGAACAGACAATGTTGTCTTCCTTTTGAAGCACCAAACATGCAGTTAACAGTACACACCTTATCCCACACCCCCACAAGGTCTCCTTGGATTCTCATTCATAGAATTGATTCATGATTGAGCCCACTCTGTATCTGGCATGGGCCTAGGTGCTGCGGACACAATAGTGATGAAGCAAGACTTAGTCTTATAGAGGAGATGGACAATAAGCATGCTAAATGTGTATGTGACATGGAAGACACGTCAGTTATGGCTTAACAAAATGCAGAGATAAGTGGTTTTGGGGAAGTTTTGAGATAGAATTCTATAGCAGGGGAGGAAGCACTGAATAAAGTTTCTCAGAAGAGTGTATATCTAGATCTCTGGGGAGGAAATACCCCAGTCACAGAGAAGAGCAAAGGGAGTGATATGAGAACATGACTAGCGCAGTGTGCTCAAGAGATGTCAATGTGACTTAAAGTCAACAACATCTATGCATAGCCATTTGGGAATGGCTGTGAGAATATTGCCAAAGGAAATCCATGTAATCCACTATCTCAAAAATTCTTCATACTCAAATAGTCTAAGGAAATGCCTACAAAATGATAGGATCTCAATATACAGATGCTTACATGCACACAGTTCACAGCTCTATTTGACAAACATGCTGTATTATGGAACATCATTTAGTGGAGAAATGATTTCTGAGTTGGATGAGTGCTTCAAACGCCCAGTTTGCACCCTGAAGGACGTGTGGCTAAGGAACATGTATCCCCCTCGTGACATCAACCTCATTTCATAGTAAGGGGAGGGGCTCTGGTTCCCTAAATCATGGTTGAGTTCTTGTAAATTCTGTCTAGTTACCAGAGCGAGGAAGTGACTTAAGTGAGAGTTTTAACGGTAAACAAATAAGTATAAATCTTTCTAAAAGGGTAATGACATTTAGCCTTGATCACTGTATCAGCAGCGATGCACTGGAAGGAGTCAAGTCAGGTTGCTTTTCTGGGAAGGTAGCTCTGTCAGAAGTATTATACCACTTTTCTGTCACTGATATGTCAATTAACTTGCCTGTAATTAATGAGTGCAGTGTCAGGCAGATGGTAACTTTAGATGAACTTGTCCCATCAGTTGGATACATTTTAGATGAGTGCAAGGCCCCAGTTCTCCTAAGAGATTCTTAGATGGCAGACAGTTGTGAGCCTTTAATTAAATTGAAGCATTAAATTAACTCCACTGGCCTAAACAGGCAGGAATAAAATCATGAAGTTGTGATATTGAGTTGAGTAGAAGGTCAGGATGGGTAGGGAAGTGCTGGAAAAGTAGAAATGAAAACAAATGAATGAAAAATATAAGCCATCAAAGGACACACACATTTTGCCAGAATAATCTTGAGATGAGTAATGAATGGCCCCTGTGTCCACTCATCAGTAGCCCATGAGTATGACCTGCGGCCATTCCTGATGACCACCATTGTTCCCCAGCTGGTTACGGTTGTTGTTGTAAAGTTGGTGCTGACTCATCACCACCCTGTGCACAAAGACCACACTCCAGTGGGTTTTCAAGACTGTCCTTTTAAAAAAACATTTTTTTCCTTTTTTAGCAGTTTTGTGGAGATATCATTCCCATATACAATTCAATAGTTCAATCACATCAAGAAGAGTTGTACAATTACCACATCAGCTTGAGAACTTTTCCTTCATTCTTGTATTCATCGTTCATAGCTCCTTATTTCTCCCCAATCTTCTCTGCCCTAACCCCCAGGAACCATTAATCCAATGACTGTCTCTATAGATTTACCTGGCCTAGATTTCATAGACAGAAAAAACATCTTACAAGAAACACACACAAAAAACCTAACAACAAATACAAAGTAAACCTTAATAGAAAAGAAAGCAGAGGCTGTTAAAAAGTAGAACAAATTTAAAATGGATCAAAAAGGAGATCAAATGATAAGATGTTAAATGTTAACCTACCTGCATCTGCCATGATCAACTTTCCAATCAATTCCTTTTGCATGCCAGTAAGGCCAGTCACATCTCTGATCTATAGTCAGAGGGGATTCGCTAGAGGCTTAATCCACATGTTTCTGCTCACTTTTTTAAAAAACTGAAACAACTTTAAAATGGATCAAAAGGAAATCAAATGACACTACATTTTAACCTTAATGTACGCCCTAATTGACTTTATAATGATCTCTGTCTCATACCAAGGCTATACACTTCCTTCAACTATGATAAGAGGCAGTAGTCACAGCAGGTCAGAAACCACACTGGAGTTTTGGCTTGCCTCTAAGGATTTATGATAAGTACTGGGCCTGGCACTTGGTCAGCTAAAGAGGAGGTGGGGATTGTATAACTGGAAAAAGTCGGGCCTCTGCATCCAACTGAAGCAGAGCTAAAATTCTCCTAATTATATTATGAGAATCATCAACATGAGGAGGCAGAAGGACTTCTCCTCCAACTGCCTCCCCAGAGGAGAAGAGGAGAAGCGAGGTGGCTTTTTTTTATAAAGAAAGGGGAGGTTTGGAAAGCAGCATTAGACATGAACCGAGGTTGGGGAACATAGGTTAGTAGACATCATTTCTTCTCGTGCTCTGGTGTCTTATGTCACCATGTCCCAGGTAGTGCAATCATCCATGCCAGCAGAATGGAGTGATTGACCTGACTGGGACTCAAAAGTATGCATCCAGTGTACTGGAATGCGGTTTAGCAAGCATTCCTGTTCTCGGTCCTAAAATCACAGGCTCATCATTCATTTCACATTTTTATTGCTAAAGAACACAGGGCCAAGTATGTTAAAATAATGAAATAAATTTAAGTGTATAAGAAGTCTTAGTGTAACACCTAACCCACTCTGTCCTTTTCAATTGCCCCTCTAGATCTCTACTTTTGTGTTCATGAGTATACTTCCATCTCAATGACTTCTAGATTTTGATTAAACGAATCCCTTGCCCACGAATTGGGATGGCATACATATTGTTGTGTTAAGGGGACTGGCTTGAATTTGCATCTCTTTATCTCTGTCGTGTGATCTTTTGGCCCAGGATTTGAATCCGAAATAATATGTGGAAGGAGGAAAATGAACACATTTTACTACGCCCTGGAGCTTCAGCCCCAATTCGTGGTCTTTGCCCTGGCTGTAATGAGCTAAACTAAAACCTAATCCGCTTGTCATCAAGTCGATTCTGACGCATGGTGACTCAATGTGGTTCAAAGTAAAACTTGACATGAGGTTTTCTTGGCTACCACCTCTTGGAAAGCATATCACTAGGCCTACTTCCTCAGGACTCCTGGGTGGATTTGAGTCATCAATCTTTCTGTTAGCAGTCCAGGGCAGAACCTTTGTGCCATACCAGGATAACCAGTGACTGCTGCCCATGTACGTTTCTCTTTCTGCCAAGTCTGGTAGGACTGATTTTATTTGGCCTTCTAAAGTTGAGGTGACCTCCTACCATATTAGTTATATATACAAAGGCTAAAATCTTCTTATACAACCATCGGTCCTGAGCCTGTTCCATTGTCTCCTCACTCCCATGTGCCATTTGTGCTTGACCGGCCTCCTGATCGTGCCACCAAATCACACTGAAATGTAAACCTTAGTCTCCGAGAGGAAGATACTGCTTATATTATTCCACTAACCACATTTTGGCAACTGTGATGGTTCTAGAATATGTTCTTGAGAGCTCCATTTTATTCTCCATCCATACTGGTACACCTCATTGCTGAGGAAGGTGGGAGGAAGGCAAAAGATGTGCTCTTAAAGTTAAGTTGGCAGTGATAGACCCCAAAGTTGTAATTCCCTCTAACACATCTCTGTGGCAGACATCACTAAGGATCACAGTTCTCATACCTGCGAGTCTTTCCCAGCAGACACCTTAAGGCAGCGACTTCTGATAGCTTTGTAAAAGGATAATGTTAATATTGATAGCAATGTCAGTAATAGAAACCGTGATCACATTAGCTCTCAAGCATTTAGCTTGTGCTGAAATATGTGACGTGTACTGCCTACATAATCCTACTTCATTGTCTATTAACACAATTAGAATACTATTATCAACCTTATTTTACAGAGTAAAATACTGAAGCTTAGAGAAGGGTACATAATATACTGACGTGTACAGCACTTATAAATGCTGAGTTGGTTTTCATTTTTCCAGTTCCAGCGTCGTTTCTTCTCACCATAAGCAACACCCCCTCCAGAGATCCATTTCTATGATCACTAGTGTATTTTCAATGTCATGAATTTCAAGCTTTGCTTGCAGGGACACCTAGCTCAGAGTGTTCATGGTTTTGAGATGGGAGCAAAGAGGAGGAAACAAAGACATGCCCAACTTACCCCACCCCACCCCGCAGTGGACTTCAGTCAGAACTGTTC